AAACACTTTTCTGGGGTTCAAATGTGGGTGGCTCAATACGTACCAGCTTAGGTTGTTTTCACCTTCGTGGTGGCTCAGTATGTACTAACTTAGGTTGTCTTCGCCTAATGGGTGGCTCAGTTTGTACAATGTCTGGTATAGTCCTCACCTTGTGGATGGCTCAATACGTACCAACTTAGGTTGTTTTCACCTTCATGGTGGCTCAGTATGTACTAACTTAGGTTGTCTTCGCCTTATGGGTGGCTCAGTTTGTACAATGTCTGGTATAGTCCTCACCTTGTGGATGGCTCAATACGTACCAACTTAGGTTGTTTTCACCTTCGTGGTGGCTCAGTATGTACTAACTTAGGTTGTCTTCACCTAATGGGTGGCTCAGTTTGTACAATGTCTGGTATAGTCCTCACCTTGTGGGTGGCTCAATACGTACCAACTTAGGTTGTTTTCACCTTCGTGGTGGCTCAGTATGTACTAACTTAGGTTGTCTTCACCTAATGGGTGGCTCAGTTTGTACAATGTCTGGTATAGTCCTCACCTTGTGGGTGGCTCAATACGTACCAACTTAGGTTGTTTTCACCTTCGTGGTGGCTCAGTATGTACTAACTTAGGTTGTCTTCACCTAATGGGTGGCTCAGTTTGTACAATGTCTGGTATAGTCCTCACCTTGTGGGTGGCTCAATACGTACCAACTTAGGTTGTTTTCACCTTCGTGGTGGCTCAGTATGTACTAACTTAGGTTGTCTTCACCTAATGGGTGGCTCAGTTTGTACAATGTCTGGTATAGTCCTCACCTTGTGGGTGGCTTAATATGTACCAACTTAGGTTGTCTTCACCTAATGGGTGGCTCAGTTTGTACAATGTCTGGTATAGTCCTCACCTTGTGGGGGGCTCAATATGTACTAACTTAGACTGTCTTCACCTTGTGGGTGGCCCAACATGTACCAACTAAGGTTATCATGCCCTTAAATGTAAACCATGTTCCTAAAGATTTATTGAGATACTTTTTTCACAAATACTATTTTTTATAATTGATTAACAAATGGATGCTTTAACATATTTAAAGACTTACCTTGTATTATATTGAAATGGCACTAATTTAGCTTGCTCTGGTCAATGTGGTCAAGAATTAATTGTACAGACGGGATGAAGGTCAATAGTAACCTTCTCAGGTCAATCTCAATGTTGTGCCAACTAAGTAATCAGTTTGTTTGTTTGTTTATTTGATCACCAGTAAAAGTAAACTTAGAGTGGTTTAGGTATTGACTCAAACTGGTTAGTAACAGTGTCTCAGCGGTCATTTGGAAACATTTCTTAGCACCCTTCTGTGTAAATACCATACTGTTTGTACTGCTACCTTTCCCATTTACTTAAACCTGACTCCTTTATTAGAAGAAAACAATAAGATATTGATGATGATGACAATGACAATGATGATGATGATGATGATGATGGTGATGCCCCATTGGTGATTTGGAAACATTTCGTAGTACAGTTCTTTGTAAATACAATAATGTTTGTACTGCTACCTTTCCCATTTACTTAAACGAGACTCCTTTATGAGATATTGATGATGATGATGATGATAAGGATGATGATGGTGTCCCATTGGTGATTTGGAAACATTTCCTAGCACTGTTCAGTGTAAATACCATACTGTTTGTACTGCTACCATTACCATTTACTTAAACCTGACTCCTTTATGAGAAATTGATGATGATGACGATGATGATGATGCTGATGATGATGATGGTGTCCCAATGGCCATTTGGAAAATTTTTTAGCACTCTTCAGTGTAATTACAATTATTATACTGCTACAATAACCATTCACATAAGAAAACATGAAGTAAGATATTGATGATGATAATGATGATGATGATGATCATGTTGGAACACCTAACACCACTCTAACATCTGTTTGATTTGACCCTCAGAGGCTATCTTTTAGTCTATGATTTATTCATATGAAATATTCATATGAAAAACCTCTTTGGAGGAGTCCACTACTATACAACTTTTACTCCCGAATTCGACATTCTTTGGACGAGATTTTTGATTGACGGAATTGCCTTGCTTGTATAGATTTTTATCGTATGAAATACAATCTGTTACTTTTTAGAATTATAAATGAATACTTTATTTGAAAATCAGGTATAAATGGTTATAGTCCTTTCTTGAATATCTTTCTATCATTTGTATAAGAAAAAATTTAGTACCATAAAATATATACAATATACTTGTCCCTTGTAAGATATAAGGACTGGAATTTTAACTTCATGAAGTCAAATTACCAATTGGTTGAAATTTTGATCAACCCATATTCAGTATAAGTGTATCAATTATTTTTGCTATTTCTTCTATAAAGATATGTCAAGTTGATATTTCAATTCGTATCAAAATGATTTAAAATGATGTTAGTACTGGTTGCTTAAAGCAATAGTAATGAACATACAATTTAAGAATTTTAAACTTGGCGAATAAGAGCATGTATATTCATCAGTAGATATACCTGGTGTCATAAATAACATAACAGGATCCTTATATAATCGATAATCCATAAATATGCAATTAACTATTGAAAAACACTTTTAAGATTAGGCATTTTTCAATAATTACATAGTTTTATGAATTTTCCAATTTTCCAGATTTTACTTGGATTCTGTTGTAACTTTATGAAACCAGGTAAGTTCACTGATAAATATATACTCATATTGACCATTCTTGAGAATTTAAATTTTATGTTCATTCTAAGACATTGTATCACTTTAATAAACTGCACAAATAAAACTTCAATAAAATTAAATGAATGGAATTGACATCAACATTGTTTTTCCATCAAACAAACACTTTTTTAAATTTACGTTTGCGTTTTCATCTTGAACCCAATTGTTTACATTGTCAGCAGTGTATTGGCTTTGAACTAATATTTGCGTCAACAGACCTATCCAAAGGTGTGTGAAGCTAAAGGGAGATAAATCTATTTGGTTTGAATATACTAAGCTACAGACAACATTGGTGAATTGATTGAACCTATATAACATTGGGCCTCATATATATTTTATCCTTTTTAACTAGACACTTTTTGAAAATTTAATTTATTTCCTCATGAGAACAATGGGCCACCAAAGAGCTGTCATTGTTAGAAAAATGACTTAGCAATGCTGAATATTCAATAGGGTCGCGACCTTAGTAATTTGCATAAAAGATAATTCATTTGAGATACAACTGAAGACATATTTCACAAAAGAAGTTGCACTTATCATTTTACTACAAACATTTTCCAATTTACAAATGTCACTTTACAGTTTAAAATATACTTCTGATATTTATCAAATATGACTGTGGTTTATCGTTTAATAAGTTTTGGAAGATGCTAAATGAATTATTAGAATGGACTTTAGTTAAGTTACATGTGAATATTAGCTTTTCAATCATTATGTTGTTTGAATTATACGTAGTAGGTAATAAGATATTTTACATTTGTCTTTGAATCAGTGTATAAGACAAATCGGTAGAGCATTGATAAATGACGCTAATTGACCTCCGTACTGGACAACCTGTGAATGGCAAAAAAAGTTGGTTATACTGTTATGATGACAATTCAAAGTAAGTAGATTATACTCTTGTTACGACAATCCAAAAAAAGGTAAATTTTATACTTCAAATGTCAATCCAAAGTAATTAAATTGTATACTTATGATGACAATCCAAAGTAATTAAATTTTATACTTATAATGTCAATCCAAAGTAATTAAATTGTATACTTATGATGACAATCCAAAGTAATTAAATTGTATACTTATGATGACAATCCAAGTAAGTAAATTTTACACTCTTGTGATGACAATTGAAAAAACAAAGTAAGTAGAGAAAATCTTATGATGACAATCCAAAGTAAATAAATTTGATACTTATAATGACAATCCAAAGTAATTAGATTTGATACTTATGATGACAATCCAAAGTAAGTAAATTATACTCTTGTTATGACAATCCAAAGTAATTAAATTGTATACTTATGATGACAATCCAAAGTAATTAAATTGTATACTTATGATGACAATCCAAAGTAATTAAATTGTATACTTATAATGACAATCCAAAGTAATTAAATTTTATACTTATGATGACAATCCAAGTAAGTAAATTTTACACTCTTGTGATGACAATTGAAAAAACAAAGTAAGTAGAGAAAATCTTATGATGCAATACACAGTAAGTAAATAATACTCTCATGATAGTAATCAAAAGTAAGTAAATTATACTCTTGACAAACAGAGGGGAAATCACACTGTTCTGTTGGCAATCCAAAGTAAGCAATCTATATTCTTATGATGAAAATCCAAAGTAAATAGATTATATTCTTGTGGTGATAGTCCAAAGTAATGGAAATAGACTCTTATGAAAAAAATTAAATTACTGTCTTCTGATGAAAAAGTAAAAATTGAGAAAAATATACTCTCATGATGGCAATCCAAAGTAAGTAAATTGCACTCGTATGATGACAAATCAAAGTAAGTAGATTATACTCATATGATGACAATTCAAAGTAAGTAGATTATACTCGTATGATGACAAATCAAAGTAAGTAGATTATACTCGTATGATGACAAATCAAAGTAAGTAGATTATACTCATATGATGACAAATCAAAGTAAGTAGATTATACTCGTATGATGACAATTCAAAGTAAGTAGATTATACTCGTATGGTGACAATTCAAAGTAAGTAGATTATACTATTATGATGACAATCAAATGCTGATAAAAAGTAAAGACAATCTTATGTTGAAAATTCAAATTAGATGATGACAATCCAAAGTAAGTTTTTACGATTAAAATCCAAACTAAGTCGATAATATACTATGTTAAAAAGTAAGTAAATCATTATCTTTCGATATGAATCCAAAGTAAGATTATGCTCCCAAGAAAACATTCTAAAGTAAATGTATTATGATGACAATCCAAAGTAAGTAGACTTTACTCTTATTATGGCAATCCAAAGTAAGTAGACTATAATCGTATTATGGCAATCCAAAGTAAGTAAACTATACTCTTATTATGGCAATCCAAAGTAAGTAGACTATAATCGTATTATGACAATCCAAAGTAAGTAGACTATACTCTTATTATGGCAATCCAAAGTAAATAGACTATAATCGTATTATGACAATCCAAAGTAAGTAGAGTATACTCTTATTATGGCAATCCAAAGTAAGTAGACTATACTCTTATTATGGCAATCCAAAGTAAGTTGACTATACTCTTATTATGGCAA